CATCAAGTTTCTAAATATATATATATATATATATATATATATATATATGAGTTTGCAAAAAATTAAAATGTCTTAACATTAAGAATATTAAGACATCTAATTAAAGTCATATGATGGGAGATATAATGTATGTTTTACATAAATATCATCTATCATGCGGTTAGGAGTGAACATTTTGGCATTTTTAATGTTAAAACATCTTAATTTTTACTTATTTATATATATACACACACGACTAGCCATTAATTAAAAAAAAAAAAGGTTATCAATTTTTATAAGAAAAGCCCATATTTATTTAAGCTTGCTTGAACTTCTAAGATGAAACAGACTGTCTAACGGTCTTGATTTGTGTATAATATTTTTCTTATAATGAAATTTTATATTAATCGCATGATATTAAACTAGTTAGTGCATGTTGATTACCGACTCCCATTTTGTGAAGACAATTAATTAACTACCCAAGATTGTAAGATTTTATTATAAGAAAACATAGTATATGAATTGTTTTTTATTAAAAAATTATTAATACATATTTAATTTAATACACATTTTGACACTTATTTAGTTTAGTTATTAAAAATATAATATTTTATTTTTTTCAATAAAAATTTATTAAAATGACATTATTTTAAAATAATTTTTTTTAATTTTTAAAAAGTAAAATAAATAAGCACTAACTCCATTAATAAAATTACATATAAAATTAATACCCTTTAACAAAATCTTTAATGCAATAACCTCACCCTCATTTACGCACGTGGTAGGACGGATATCCTGTGCGCATATTCCACCAAAGTTTTGGGTGTTTTCCGTAATAGGGTCACATGGGCTACTTCTGGGTTGGGCTTTATTTTTAATGTCCGAAGAATATGGCGAGTGGCCGCAGGTGTATTCTTTCCTGGAAGTTTAGGCCATGAAGCTTGGGCTTCGGCCCGCCAATAGTTTAGAAGGTGGGCTAAAGACCTGTGTTCTATACTTCTGTTCTCCTCCCTTACCATTTGTCACATGTTCAAAAAGGCAAAACTCCCCGTTAGGTCTCTGAACTAGTATTTTTTATTCAGCTCTTGAATTTTTTTAAATAGATGGGTGCCTGACACCTTACGATTTTGTGCAATTTTGCCTTGTTCAAAAATTCAAGGCATTTAGGGTCATGTTTAACCACTTAATGTAAAGTTTTGCCAAATATATATATATAATCACAAAGAAAAGCATATATGT